ATTTCTTTACGTGTACATACTAAAACCTGATCTAAAACAAAAAAACAAAACAAAAAACTCCAAAACACCTCAACAATTGGTAAATACAGAATTTAGAATGTACCATGTGCATCTGAAAAAAATAAAATACAGAGAGAGCCTTATTTTCAAAACAAAACAAATTTTGAAGGGAAAGAGAAAGAAAATGACCTAAGAGAAAGGTCGGGTTGGTAGTTGGCTTTCTAACAGAAGATATACAAGAGCACGTCAAAAAGTTTTGGAAAAATATTGTACTCCATAAATATGTACAATTATCATGGGTCGAGTAAGAAAAAAAACTTAAAAAGAGAGAGAGAAATGAGAGAAATAGTAAAATAGTGGTTGCCAGAGGCAGGGAAAGGGAGGAAGGTGGGGGGACGGGGAAGAGTTGGTACAGTTAGATAGGAGGAATAAGTTCTGGTGCTCCAGGGTGACAATAACTAATAATATTGTATTGTCTATTTCAAGATAGATAAAAAAGATCTTGAATGTTATAACCATAAAGAAATAATAAATGTTTAGGTGACAGATATGCTAAGTGTTCTGATTAGATTATTACACAATGTATGCAAAACAACATACATTGAAACAACAAGCTGTACCCCATAAACATGTACAATGAAAAAGTAAATTTAAATTTTTTTTTAAAGTTCACGGAGGGCCGGCCCGGTGGCGCACTGGAGAGTGCGCCGCTTGGGAGTGTGGCGGCGCTCCCGCCGAGGGTTCGGATCCCATGTGGAGACTGGTTCCCGCTCACTGGCTGAGCACGGTGCGGGTGCAACACCGAGGATTGCGATCCCATTGCCGGTCCCTGGTATGGGCGTGACACTGAGGGTTGCGATCCCGTTACCGGTCAGTAAAAAAAGACAAAAAGGAAAAAAAATAAAATAAAATAAAGTTCATGGAAAAGTAGAGTTAAAGATAATACGAACCATACCAGTCAGCCACAAAAGAAAATAATAATAATAATATGAATCTTTCTGTGAATTTCTTCAAGACCCCATCATACAAATCTGCACTATTATATGAAAGCTGAGTCTTAGGAAGTTAAGGTGTCATAGTCTCAGTCTTCTGGCATTGTCTTTGCCAGAACAGGATTGCTCTCTGGTGTAACAATTTTCGTGTTTAGTTCAGCCCAATGGTGAAGTCATGAAACTTTTCTCACGCTCAGTTTCCTTGTGTCCAAACAGTGGCAGTTGCCTCCTGGGGCGATTGTTTCAGTTGAATAAACAGCCCATGCGCAGCACTTAGCAAATACACTCCCAGGAACAGATTTCTGTCTTCCCGCCCTTTCAGGTGATAACATTTCCATCCCACCCTTTATGAGATCACTTAACTTTAAAGAGCCGGCACACACAGGGAATGATACATAGCCATGTTTTTAATTCCTGAAAATTTCTTACACTGTGGTCTATTCTCACAAAGGAATAATATGCAGCAACTGAAGAATAAATTATAGCTACGTGTAACTACATGGATGAATATTATGGACATAAATGTCAAGAGAAAGAAGCCTGATACAAAAGGGCACATACGATATGATTTCATTTTTATGAAGTTCATGAATAGTCAAAGCTAATCTATGGTAACAGAAGTCAGAACAATGGTTACCTTGGGGGCGCTGGGGGTGGGGTGAGGTGGGAAGATGACAGACTGGAGAGGCACGAGGGAGCCCTCTGAGATGCTGAAAATGTTCTGTACCTTGATCTGGGTGGTGATCACACGGGTGCATATACATGTAAAAATTCCTCAAGCTGTATACTTGTAAGAGCTGTGCACTTTACTGCCTTTATGTTATAGCTCAATAAATGTTTAAAAATATTTTTTCAAAGCATTTATTTGACTTTTTAAGTTTTGCTCTGATGCTTTCTTCCAATCTCTTTCACATTTACACGAATGGTAAATTTATTCATTGGTGTGTCATAATTGTAGGAATTACTTGCATATTTTCCAAATAATTGCATCTACCCATTTAAGCAAGAAAACTATTATTTTCTTGGATAAAAATACTTCTAATTAATGATTTCCACTCATCACTATCATTTTAAACAAAAACTATGGAGCACATTCTTCTTGGTGAACCAAGGTTAACCTTAAGAAACTTAGGTGGTCGAGCTCTGGCTAAGATGGAATGATGGCTTCAGGGGCTATTGCTTCTACACTGGTTGACAGTAGTTTTTGCCCCTTCTTTGTTATCTGCCACTATTTCTCACTATTGCATGCCTGTCTCTAACCATCCCTGTCCATCTCATTTGTTTTCTTTCATTTATTTATTCATATATTTCGTACATATTTTTTGAATGCCTAATACGTGCGAAGCACTGGAGTAGCAAATAAGACACTTGTGAACAATGACCTAAGGTAACATATTTTAGCAGAGGAGGCAAGCATAAAACCAGTCTGATGTGTACTTTGAAGGCAGAGTATAGGACCTCATGCAGGGGGCCTGGAAAGGTCACCTTGAATAAGTGACATTTAAGAACTGAGAGATGTTGGGCTGGCCAGTTAGCTCAGTTGGTTAGAGTGTGGTGTTATAACACCAAGGTCAAAGGTTTGGATCCCTGTACTGGCCAGCTGCCAAAAACAAGAAAAACAAACAAACAAAAAATAACAGTAACAAAAATGAGAAACTAGCCCAGATTGCACCATTTTTAAAGTATTTACTGAATGAATGCATGCATGCATGAATGAATGTTCATTAGCCAGGTAAAAAGAAGAAATAATCTCATTTACTATGTACTGAGAAACCAGAAATCTTATTAAAGTCCAAATTAAAAGTCGACAATACTGATTGAGGCCCTGACAGAATTTATGGCATTAATTTTGGCTGCTGTCAGGACTGTTTTTTGCACTAAGATCTTGAGTTGCTGGACAAGTGAAGGACTTTTAGCCATTATTCGGCTAACCTACACATGTTCAGTTTTTATTTTGTCCTACAAAAAACAAAACCAGCCACAATGGCCCAAATCTCTATGAAGATTCCTCCTGGTTGCCTGCATAGTTCTGACCCCAAGCTCCTATGAATGTGACTTTCTGCCATAGTCACCAGAATCACCTTGAAATGTTGTCACTTACCCACACCTTAACAGAGCTGTGACAGGTCTGCCCAGGAAAGCCAAAGCAGGCCTGCCTCCTAGGGCATTATCACATGTTGTGAAATACCATTCATTTTGGAGCCCATTACAGTCCTCAGAGATTTTACCTTCATGACATTTTATAAACCACGACAAACTTGCAGTCTAAAGGACAGAAGGAATAGATAACCACAACAATCCTTGTAGAGTGATGTTACTCAATTATACGCCTTATAAAGCCAACCTGATATATAGGCATTATTATCGTATCACGTTTAATAACAGCAAAGTTTAAAATGCCAGACATGAGGACTAGCTGGTTAGCTCAGTTGGTCAGAGCGCAGCCTTATAACACCAAGGTCACTGGTTGGGATCCCCGTACCAGCCAGCTGCCAAAAACAAAAACAAAAACGCCAGAGATATGGGCCTAGTTATTCAGGGCTTAATTTGATGTATGACTTAATCCATCAACAAACTGTCAAGAAACTGTAAGAACCCCTAACAAGAGGTGTAAATGCAGCTTAGCTTCTTACAATTTTGAGAAGTGAGCTTAGTTTCTTACAATTTTGCGCTGATCCTTGAGACTTGAAATTTGGAAAAACAAAGGGATTGCACAGAAAAGGGACCTTGCTGATGAAATAAAGGGAAACAAGGAGTAACAAGTATCTACAAACGGTTTGTCATCAGACTTTTTCCCAGAGTCTTTCTGTTCCTCTGATAAAATTTCAGACTTAACACAGCATCAATCTACTTGAAACAATGCGGTATTAGTGCATGAGCTCTTTCACTGGTGAGGGTCTATAGTTTGGATTTATGTGGGATCACAGAAGGTCACAAGCTTGACGGACTCTTCAGCAAACTTAGATCGCAAATATTCTTACTTCAGTTTTGAAATTTTAACAGAGGTAAGAAAAGGTTAATCCATTTGTCGAAAGTCACAGAGTAGTGAAATAAAGTACTGCTAAACTCAATTTTTTAATAAGCACATAAAAACATATCAAATCTGCCACACTTCAGGTGAAATCAATGTCTCTTGACCTCCACGGTTATTAGATTTAGTCCTATTTGCCTAAATACACAAAGCCACAGGGAAGATCTTCCCACAGAAATTTCCTCTAATTTTGAAACAATCATTTCTTCCAGCCATTTTACAATGACTGGAAACTTGTCAGAAGAAAGACCCTTTGCTTCTTACTGCCAGTGTCAAGGGGCAAAAACGTGCTCAAATCATGTTCTTTCATAATCAATGAGCTCTTGAACTTTAATACTGTCTTGATTTATGTCTCCTACCATAAGATACAGTAAACAGGCCAAAGATTCCATATGCTTGTTATATTGCAACACCTTTTTCCAGGAACCAGAGCTATTCTTTTTCTAGATTTTCCTGTTTACTGTTTGGGTTTTAGCCACTAATATCAGTTACAAGGATCTGTGTCCAGCATATCATTATTACAATCGATCAAACGCAAACATTTGATTAAGGCTCTAGGTTTATCATACATGCTTCTATTTTCTACAAAAAAGTTAGAATATCAAGAAGTATTTATTCATTAGTTTCTCCAAAATTACGATGAGCCTACAAAAACTTACTCTTAGCTTCTGTGTTCTAAAAACACAGATTTAAGGATAAGAAGCAATCTTTCAAGCTGACCTTTAATTTGTTATCTTGTCTAACTTTAACAGAATGGAGGGTGGGGGGAGAGAGAAATTTGAAAGCCTTTTCATGAAGCAGAGTCACCATTTAGCAAAACCTTCAATGGACCGAGTCACCGGGCATACCGAAGTACAAACTGCAAAGTTACACATTGCCTCCTAGAAACATGGCACCTGGTTCCGAACCTTTTGCTCAAGCAAATGTTTACATCTGATTCAGTCTCCTATAAAACCTTAAGCACAGGTAGACTTTACCTCACTCTCCATGACACGCACGTCCCTCTAGTAAAACCAAAAACAATGTTTGCTGGAAACTGAAGATCGCAATTATCCAGGAACTCCAAGCCACCGAAAACTAGCATTTGCAAAAGATATTCCTTCTGCCCCTGTCCTCCCCCTCACCACTCCTGCCCCTTCAGCAGAAGAGTACCCAAATTGTACGTAATCTGAAATTTTAAGTAGTAATAAATACAAAGTAGGAAAGAAGTACCTGCCAAACACCTGGCGCTCTCTTCCCCCTGCTTGGTCTCTCCTCCCACACTCTGGCAACGGAATGCCCTTCAAAACCATGGCTCACTGCTTTTGGTAAATGTTTTACGAGACACTAAACAGCCTTGTGTCCCACCCTCAGAGCAAACACCATTGAGAGAACACAATATAATGGTCGCAAAGATATCATATAATGTACAATAATGTAAATGAACAAGCAGGCTCTATCTCCACACTCCTCCTTAAGGGAAAAAAAAAAAATCCCAAACTTGGAGGTGGAGGGGTTGGACTAGCAGGAAGGGCTTGTAGAAATAAACCTTGATACTAGAAGCATTAGTTTTTTTTTTTTTTAAAGGCAGCATTATGATAAGCTTATTGTTCTAATCCCCAAGCAAGCCTTGGCTTGCTAAACTGAAAAAGTGTCAAAGGCAAGAGTTAATAAAGGGTAGAGTTCACCAGTGAATCTGTAGGCACGGTTGCAACTATACATTTGCCACATATTTCCATCTGTCAGAGAAAATGCAACTCAGAAAAGTTTTTCATAAACATCTTCTACAATAACAAAACGTTTTCTCCATTTTCCATATCCCTCAAGTTATTCACAGTTAAAAACCAATTCTGCTCCAAACCAGAAGTTTTGCATTCCATTCAAGTTAACAATTACAACTGGAGGAGAACAGAAACTTGCTGGCACCAAACTATTAGCACAGCCAGAATGTCAGGTGCCTCTTGGTACCACCAGGGTTAACTAGATAAAGAGAGAGTCATCTGTCTGGCTGGTTTTATCCAAACGACATATGAAGATTGCTAGAGTCCTGAGCCCATGCAGGCAACATGCTCTTGGAGCTCTTAGTCGAACAGTCTGAGAAACGAGGAAGAAGATTTAGCTAACATCAAGCCTGCTGGCTACAAGGAGACCACGGCTGTTTAGAGAAGAAGCAAGAATTGTCTTTGGCTTCAGAATCACACACACAGACAGGTTAGACAAATAAGAAAACCCATTTTCTTATCCCTACCCCCTTCCCCAGTCCCCAAGAGTACTCAGAATTCTGCATTTCATACCTTTAAGATGTCTAGTAGGGTAGAAAGAAAACTGAACTTAGAATTGAGATCATGGTTTTTCTTTTTTCTTTTTTGGCAGCTGGCCAGTACAGGGACACGAACCCTTGACCTTGGTGTTATTAATACAGTGCTCTAACCAACTGAGCTAACCAGCCTGCCCAAGATCATGGTTTTCTACATTCCAGCTGGGTGACCTCGAGCAAGTTCCTTAAACTCTCTGAACCTGTTTCCTCATCTATAAAATAAAAATGTCTAGAACCACAGAAAATATCTCAAAAAAACTGACAGCTCTCCAACTTCAAGCACCTAAAAAATGGCACAGGGCAGTTCTTCACATTTTCAAAACACTTTAAGGATTGTTGCAGTTTTATTGTCCCCCCTACCTTACATGTATGGGTCCCATCTTATTTTCAGTTTCCTCGTGTTACAGAAGCTTCAGGTTGGTTCTGTGACTACAGGCAATTCGCTGCTCTTGGGCCTGACTGACTTATCTGCTTTGGGTGGGTATCATAAATGACCCTTTATCTGCATGCTCAGGGGCGTGGCGACAGGCCTCCCGGCCTCTCCTTTTGCTTTCACAACATTTCTCCTCATCTCACTCTTTACCACAATTAGCTATCCTGCCTCTCATCCTGGCCTTCCTTTCCCCTTCCTTCTCTCTCTCTCTTTCTTTTTTTCTCCGCCTTTCCTGCCTTAATTCCCTGAGAGGGACATGACGGGGATGTGCTGGAGGGTGATTATTCTCATCACCCTATTTCTTCTATCATTTATGTGACGTATCAAACAACCCAGTGCAGGAGGTGAGAGAGAGGTTAGTCTTATCCAGATTCTACAGACGAGGGAACCGAGATGGACCTGGGGCCATTGCTGATGGGACTGGGACCAGAGCTGGGCTTTCCTGGCAGGCCAAGATTTCCCTGCCACCCTTCAAGGCCCTGCCTAACTCCTTACCCCCAAATGCACCTCTTCCCAGTGCCCGCCAGTCCCCCCTCGTCTAGAAGGCTTTCTGCCCCTTGTGGCATAGTTCACTCTTGGATTGCTCTTCTCCTCACCCTTTTCCTTCCTCCCTTTGGGTTTTTATGTCTAATAGGAGCAAATCCCCATAGTGACAAACCTGAATGATGGGGAGATAATTATTCCCTGCACAGGAGTCTTTCCTATGTGTACCTCTCCTGGGTCACATTTCCCCTTCCACTCTGCACTGGGGTTTTTGTGTGTCCTCAGCTGCTTTTTAGACCACCGAGCGTTCACCTCTGCAGTCTCGGCATGGAGTCCAGTGCCTTACTGTTCAGGATCATACTTGAATTTAAATGAAAAAAACCGTAGACATAATATTTGAAGCAGTGTCTCAATGAAGTGAATTCCAGGTATAAGCAAAGGCCAGAATTTGGGGTTTTGATGCAGTTGCATTTGGCGGGGTGGGGGTGGGGAGGGGGTTTGAATGAGAATGAGAAAAATGGATTAGAAAGACAAGGTAGCATAGCAAATAAGCTGGCCAGCAAATCACGCCATAAAACAAGCATCATTTCTTAAGTGCCTACCATTACCAGGCACTTGATATATGAGGCCACATTTAACTTAATCGGCAGATGAGACGCTAGATTCAGAGAGGCTGCCCAAGGGCACAAAGCTGATAACGGCAGAACTGAGACTTAAGGCAGGTCCCAATCAGAGTCCTTGCTCTTTGCCTGAGTCACACTCTCGTGCCACCTGCACACTGTGGCCTGTTCACTCTGGGGATGTGTCTGTTGCCTGAATCAAGATCCACCTGCCTGTATTTTCTGCCACGCTAAGCTCAGCACACTGGCTCTGTTCTTCACTCCTTCGCTTTGGCCCCTTCTGCCCCCTCTACCTCCACCTGTTCTTTTCCCTAAGGCAATCTATGTGCACTATGAAATCTTTTGACAAACTCAACTTATTATTGGGGCCCTTATCTAACCACAAAACCCAACCAAATGGTATGGATTTCCCCACTTCAGGTAAGTCTTTAATGTTCATTTTTTTCTGTGGTCACGTATTTGGTATTTGACATTAAACCCTGTAAGCTGTGTTAGAATTACCTGTGTTCTAGGCAGCACTTGGTGTGCTACTGTATTCAAATATTAAATCTCATGCTGCTCAAAGACTAAATTCTGTGTCCCTGTGCAATATAAATGTTTTATGATAGCATCTCCCACCTCCAGCCATACAATTCTAAGTTGCATTTTTGCTCTGCTGTCTTTACCTACCAGCGTGCAGGTATGCCCCTACATTTTCAACTGCAGAGCTCTGATAGGGCAGAATAACTAACCTCCGATGAGCGCTGCTCTATCACTTCAGGCCTATTCCAAAGCATCTGTCAGCTTTCGGGGGCCCACTTCTAGCCTGGATATCTTTGAGTCTAGTATACATTTGGCGTGATGAATTGTTTTCGATTCTAAGAGGGGTTTTGAGCTCACTTAGAAACCAGGGAATGGTGAAGGAGAAAGGAGAGGTGGAGATTTAATCTGGAGCTTCTAAGTCTCCCAGAATCTCCCTAATGCCTTGGAACTTCCATGAATCACAAAGCCTCTTTAGTTCTCTGGACAGGGCTTGTGAGTGTGGCCTCTCAGAAACCACTAGTCACTCAGCTCAGCCTCAACCCAGACCCTATGGAAGGTCCCAGTGGCCCTTGTGTTCTCCCAAGTTGCCCAAGGAAGAAGAAGCTGGGGCAGGTGAGGGGAGCACATGATAAATCTACACTGCCCAGCATTGTCTTCGGGACAACATCCACCAGACCATCAGTTCCCAAATGGATGTCCCTGGAACCCTGGGAGACTCCAAGACTCTTAATAATACTAACATTACAATCATGGCGTTTTTCACCACCAGGCACTCAAAGTTGTTGTTTTTTCTTTTTTTAAAGAACCAGTTTCCCTTAAGAATGTTTTTAACAATGCAGTAAATTATTAATTTTATTACATCTTAAATGTATACTCTTAAGTATACTTTTTAAAATATTCTGTGTGATGAAACAGAAAGGACAACAAAGCACTTCAACCGCACACGATGGTGTCTCAAGGAAAATCACCTGTGTGACTGAGCTGCAGGCTGAACTAGCTGCTGTTGTCCTGGAATACCATTTGTACTTGAACAAACTATGGTTATTAAGACTTGGATATGTGGCAGGCATTTTTTAGAAAATGAACGATGTGAGCCTGTCTACCTCAAAGAACACAACTGACAGTATTTGTTTTCAATGATAAAATTCAAGTTTTCAAGCAAAAGTTAAAATTTGGGGGAACTTGGATTTACCAATATGAGCTTGACAATTTGTCAATAATTAAAGACTTTTCTGCCTAGTTGTGATATTAACAAATGTGATTTTCCAATACTGTATAATAAAAGATGTCAATTTTTGAAAGATCTTCACAACTCATGATGTTACAGCATCATGCATGGGTAAAAGATCCATTGAAAGCACAAAATAGTCCAATTGATTTTAATGTAACAGAGCAGGAAGAGTTCACCAGCATGGTTTCAGATTCCACCTGCAATTAACCTTTAAGAAACTACCTCTTGTAGAGTTTGGGTTTAGTATCAAAGAAGAATGTTCACGATTATCTGGAAAGGCTACTAAAATATTCCTCCCTTTTCTAACTACATCTCTTTGTGAGGCTAAATTTCTTTTATATACTTCAATGAAAACAACATATCTGAAAATACTGAGGCAAAAGCAGGTATGAGAATACAGCCGTCTCCTTATCATAACCTCACTAAAGCGATTTGCAAAAATATTAATACACTCTTCTCATTATCTTTTTTT